GAAAAATCAAACTCTTACAATACATTTTTTTCCTGAAGCGAGGTCTCAAACTACACAAACGCATTGCAAACACATGTAAATATGAATCAAGAAGATATATTAAAGCTTTTAAGTGCATATTAAGTAATGTATTTTTATAGAAAAAAAAGTGCAATAAGAACATATAATGGCCTTTTTTGAAATATATTATAAAATAAGATGACTCCGACTTTGAAATTTTATGCATATTATATAGTCATTCTTTCTTGCGTAAGTGTTCAATGTCTTCTTCACAGGTGATCTTGACTTGCGGCATGTTTTCATTTTTACGGAGATAAACGATCCCATGAGATGTCCAACAGAATGAGTATTTGTAGTTCTTTTGAAAGGTCCTGGCAAGGTAAAATAGTCGTTGAGTTTGTCTAGTAAGAGTTTCCGATAAGTATAATGGTTTAATTGATTGTTTCAGCTGCAGGTGTGCACTATTTAATTTGTTTTCATTAGGTTTGCCCTTATTAAATTTTTTTAGCTCGCCTAACATTTTTTCTTTTTGAAGAACCGTTGTAAGTTCCAATACTATTGGGGTGGTATTGTCTTTAGAGTTGACCCTATATATATCCCTAATGTCAGACATTTGCATTTCAATGTTTAACACCTTGCCTAGGCTTAATGCTATTTCGCATAATTCCTTTTTGCTCTCTCCTGGCACTTTTTGTATATTACGTATTTCAAGACTAGTAGCACGAGTTTTTCTCTCCAAAGATTCAAGCCTTTGTTCAAGCATGCAGATTATTTTTCGGTCAGCTTGTTTTTCCGCTTCAAGAGATGATATTCTTGATAAAAGCTTGTCATGATTATTAGACATTAGTTCTATACTTTTAGTCAACTCAGTATTTTGTTGTTTAATGGACTTAATTGACTCATGTAAATCTGTGAATCTATTATCAAGCCTTTTAGCGAATGATGAGAACATGTCATTTAACATTGCCATCATATTTATATTTTCCACATCCAATTTGCGTTTTTTACGTTCCGTCACATTCATTAAGGTATGCAAGTCAGGAGCCGATTCGCAGTGTTGTAAAGATATAAAGTCAGTCATGCTTGATTCTATATTTTGCGCAGTCCTCGCGTCCCCGCTTACAGATATGCTAGGAGTAGATAAATTTGGCAATAGTGAATCCTTTGGTGAAGCGGGCGGAGTGCGCTTAAGTGGCATGATATCGATTAAAAAACAAATCAAAAATAAAGTTTAATATGGTTATTTTTATAAATCAATGAGACACGGAATCTCAGTTGAGCGCAGGTATCAAGCTAATATGGTGGTAATCGAGAAACTCGTACGTTTTTACTTTCCGTCCAACTTAGTTAGATCCCCGATGTATAGACAAGGGTCAGGCCAAACTGGTGGCTATCGACGATTTCCTACGTTTTTGTTTGCCGTCCAATGTAATAAGATCCCTATTAGTTTTGATTTGATAGTAACAGTTTGTATCACTGTCCTTCTTCCTCATTAATATATTTGATCTGTATATCTCTTTCTTGGTAAAAATGCTTCCGTGTAGTGTAAAGTTTGTGTTTTGGTTCACTCACACATGAAGGGTTTCCGGGCAACGGCAGTTGATGTTGATTGTGATATACCTATGCTCGCCTGGTAGATGTCTCACTTTGTAAGAACTTTTAATATTTAATTTTGAAATTAATTCCAAAAAAAATCACACTAAAAACGCGTCTGTACTGCACAGGAGTCCGAGGAGAAGGGAGAATTAATAAGATGATGATTAGTTTAAGGACCGCAATGCATGGAATTAATAGCTTTGCTTTGATTTATAAGAACTAATTATATGTACCAACCTATGTCTGTAACCTTGAAAATTGTATTTATTATTGTTAAAGTACGTGCTTATTTGTTAATGACAAGATTTATGTAAATTTCAAAGAAAGTAACTTCTTCTTGTCAGCTAAAAGACGTTGTGAACAAGTGGTAGGGGAAAAAAATTATTGGACGATTCAAAAGTGCTTAAAACAAGCTTACTTGAATAAAGAAAATTTCATTTCATTTCGTTTCTTTTCATACACACAGGTCAAACTGAGAACCCCCTTTTTTCGAAGTCGAAAAGAAGTTAAAATAGACGCCCATAGAGGTACTTCTATCATATTAAGAATAGGCTTATATAATATTATATACTTATCGCTTTAATAATAGTAGGATAATAGATAAATTGTCTAACATGAAAATTAAGATGATTTCCATTATTTTTCTCTAGTCGACGGTACTCACCTCCTTAAAAATACATTAGAACCTTATTGCAGCACAATTAAGTTTAAAATTCATCGCAAGCATCCATTAACATTGAGTATGAAGTAGTAATTTTTAGTTTTAAAGAATAATAAAGAAGAAATCTTTGGGTTTATACGTATCACGAGGGTCAAAATTTCAGTTACAATTGTTGTGTGTATTTATTCGCTTCAAATTCCTACCAGTTTCTTTGTTATTGCCGTTGCTTTAAGCGTCAAGCTAGCAGGCACACCAATAATCAGAAATATCTCGAATTCTAATGAAGTGAGTGAAATTTGTGGCTAATTAGTGGCTTTTTTACCCGTCGCTAATTAGTCACAATTATTTTGACATGTAATTCAAACGAATACATATCGTGTTTCTATTGTCCCTGCTACCTAGACGTCAAGTACCTAAGCAGGCACATTAAGATTTTCCAATATCTTTAAAGGACAATGTTCAGCCCCCATACATTTTTCGCCTAAGAACCTCTAAGCATGTACTATAACTTTTCGTGTTCTAAAGTATCTGTATTTACGTCTAAATACATGTTTAAGTAACGGACACTTCTAAGAAATGTATAAATCAAAAATATATTTTGGATTTGAGGTTATAATTTTAACAATTTTAGCGCGCGGATAGATTCTTTTTAATGTTTGTTTTACTTGCTTTTTGTAGGGAAATGTATGTCTACTTTGCTTTAAATATAGCTAGGTTCTGTAGGTACTTACTTAGCTTGATTTAAAAACAGTTTCGGAGCTTAGATTCCAGGTTTGTGGTTACTGGTTGTTATCGAGATTTCATAACAGACATTTAGTAAACTTCACTATCTTATTGCTTACGAAATTAATCTACAAAAGTCTGCATGCCAGCAACATAGCTTTTTAGATGTGGATATTTTTTAAAATCGGTTATAACCTAGTTTTAGTTTATGTACCTATCCATTACAAGCTGGCATAATATTGGTGTATTCTAGATATATGATAATTAATGACAGTTCCCTTTCTAGCGGAGTCTAGTGAATTCGTAGTTTATTTCTAATCATATAAACCTATCTATATTTTACAATCTTGGGTACCTTAAAACAATAGAATATTAATATTTTTTACACTACCTACTTACCTAGATATACATATATGTATATAGATAAGTAGGCAGTGAAACTATGTAGTTCCACGCCCGTATCCGCGAAAGGATAGGCCGAGATGCATTTATGCACCCACATTTCGCGAGTTATGTTTTTGTTCTACGTAATAGATGGCGATTCTTGTTGTATCAGGAGCATCTCTATACTCCATGCTGCAATCGAAAATCTACTAACAGAAAAGTGCAATAACACTGCTAGAACTGAGAATAGACTACCTCGTCGGTTGTTTGTTGTTGTTGTCAAACAAAACTTCAAAAGTTTAAAACAGTCAAACGTATGTAAAAGAATAAATAAGCGCTTCCAGCCGCTTAAAAATCTACGAACATTTTGAGTCTCGTTTTAATGTTAAGCGCTTTAAGTGCTCATTGGTTGATTATACATCAAATTGTGCATAGATCCTGATTTGCCAATTTATTAAAATATGGTGGCAGCATTTATTGAAGCTTATCAAATGTATTGATATTACTTTTTAATGTAATTACATAAATGGGCAGTGTCTGTTTGATTTTAAAAGCTGATATATTAATCATAAAATATGATAAGAATTATGATATACAAGATATTCTTAGAGGTTCCTAGGCTAATTCGGACGTTGTCCTTTACAGTGTCACTAATTATATGTTATGGATCACTGTTTGTCACTACTTTACTTACTCACAATTTATTGACATACATAAGATCCTCAAACTCAATGGTGTGTCTGCTTGACTTTGATGTTCATCACCCATGACCGAATTTTACGAAAGTTTTTGCGCGTTCGATCTGCCTGTGCCATTGAGCTCCAGTGGATGATGTAAAAGGTAAAAGTAAAAATTCAAGACTGGTTGTTATAAATTTCTTTACTAAACTTCTGTAAAAATAAAACAATAGTTAAAAAAGAACATTTTGACGGGCACTTCATTTATAACAGATTTTTTATGTCATACTTAATGCATCGAACATCGAATAGTATAAATTATATTTCGCACAAAGTCGTTTGATTTACATTCATATAGCATATGGTCAGAGCTTATAATTTTGAAAGTCAGAATCATCTTTAGGCATAGATTTCTTATGCGTTATTTATTGAGAAGTAGAATAATCAAAATCGTCTTTGGACACTTTCGAATTTGGTTTTGGTCACAGTTCTAATTCCTAACCAAACCGATTAATCGGTTCTTTTTAGTTATGCTAAACGATATTATGCGTAATTTAATTTTGCAATAGTAATTCTGCCATCTTAATTGTAATTCAGTATGCTGTTCTTTCAGCCAATATAATTATGTTCAATAATTTTTAAGCCTTATAAATATTCGTCAAAAGAAGATTACGCCAAGGCTTGTAATACAAAATATGATGCGGAGCATCGCGATTCTGTCATATAAATAGGGGGAATCGGATTTTAACATTTTAGTATTGTATTATACTGAAAAAAAACACACCTTAGTTATTTTTTATAATAATGAGTAATCGTATTAACGTAAACAATACTACATGTAGGTGCCATTTGGTTTGGTTCACAGAAGTGTAAACCTAAAAATAAGTATATTAAATCAAATGATGTTAATCAAATGATTGATATTTAAAGAGTTCACCTAATGTATATCTTAATGTAACTTATATTAATGGTTTCACACCAGCAAATTCAGCTACCCAACCTGTACCGCCATTGTTCATCGTCGAAACGAAAATAACTTTAACATAATTGTCTTCACTAATGTAATCAGCGGGGGTTTCAGAACAATACGTAGATATAATTTTACCATGTCTATCAATTAATTGTAAGTAAATCTGATCACAAGCCCGGCCGAGATCGAATACGTTAAAATGCAAATGCAGTCGTGTTTGCACCGGTGTCTCTAATTCCCATTCACAAGTAATTCTGCGCCGGTATACGCTTGGGTACATCGGACTCGTAATCCTACCTAATTCGTTTTTTATTAGTCCTCCACAGCCGGAACCTTTGTCTGTTGTAACGTATGTAAGATCATAAGCGATGTAGCCATCGTTAAAAACATGGTTATGTATCAACATATGTCTTCCAGTGGATGAAACTGATAATATATCATCATATTCGATCCCAATTTTCCTCAAACTCCGATCTGAGGTCTTATCGCCATCGAATATTTCAAGGTAAGATGCCTCTACCCAATATGTCGGTGACAGTCTTAAGAAGTATGCTGATATCGTATAGTTTTCTGGTGCAGTTATTAAAGTGTAACAGTCTTCTTTTGGTTTAGATTCATACTCATACATTTCTAACGATTTTATTCTACCGTAAGGTTCAGTATAGTTTCTTCCACAGTAATCTGCTTTTGAAAATTCTAACTCGAACCCCTTGTGACTGACATCGCCAGATTCTGCTGATGTGAGCAATGTTATTGTCACGCTGCCAACAAGATAAAACTCAATTGCCTTATGAGATCCACAATAGGTGAATGTCGTCGGGATATTTAATACTTCAGATTGTTGTAATAAATAGGCATGATCAACAAATAAGCTACTATCCATATTTACAGTCCAATCTTTCCCTAGAGTTATATTTTGTGTTCTTCTCAACTTTGAAATAATCAATTTATCTTTGTTGCACTGATTTTTGTTTTCAGCGCTAGGTAGTAAATCAATATTTTTAATATTGAGATAGGTTGTCTCCATTGTGTTCGTTGCGATATGATAAACACAATGTATTCCTCGAAGTAAAGAACCACTTCCGTAACCGGGTGATGTAATACGCTGTATAGATTTAGTGACTGTATAAGAACTTTGACCGCAAACTGATTCCTGGGCGCTCAATGTAGCTTCAAACCCAGAACTATTAACTTCACCGTCTGTAAATAATCTTACAGTTAATCCATTACTAGATGAAACTAGTTCCGGTGGTAGTGTATGACCGCAGAACTTGTCAATTATTACACTATTCGGTGCGATGCCGTCAATTAATTCTACAAAATCACAGTCACAATTATTATACCCCAAAGCGGTTTGGTTCACGTCTTGACATGGAGCTATATGAAATGACGTAAATTTAACTTTGATAACGTGATCCATAGGAGCGACTACTGTCCAATGGCAATCTAAGAAATGTTCATATACCAATTTAGAGCCAATGAGTGGTGATTTTAAATTATATGTAGAAGTGGTGGTAAGGTTGATATACCCACCACAACCTACAGACGTGGAGTATGTAAATAACACTGCAACTTGGAAACCTTTTCCACCCAAGCTACTATCCGTGTATAAGTTTAATAACATATTGTTATGGGGACTCTTTATAACGGTACTCGAATTATCACCTTCACCACATAATAAACCTAAGCGTTTCTCATTATTAATCAATAAACCATCGTATATAGCCAAGAAATCATTATAACAAGCTGAACTACTTTCTAAATCAAAGTATAAAAATCTAAGTGAAACAGTTTTATCAGTAGGCGCTTTTATAAACCACGTACAGTTTAAATTATTATTGTAATATTCAGTTGGATTCGACTTTATTATCGTTGGTTCTGTAATTTCTCCTCCGCATGAATTTAAAATGTAAGATATTTTAAACCCTTTTTGGTTCATAAAATAATCGGTTTGAAAAGTTAAAGTAATTTTTTCGTAATTAATAATAGGTGGCATTTCATTTCCACAATAAGTTGTATCATATAGGAAGTCACTAGCCGATTCACCTGAAATAGTAAGGTTATCGTTATTACAATCGGGATATGGTCCTTCTAATTCGAACTCTAGAAATTTCAAAAGGACAGTTCCTTTACTAGCACTAATTCTGTATACACAGTTCAAATTTCCAGTGTAACCATTTGGGTAACCAGGGCTGTATAAAAATTGTTCGTTTTCAGTAGCGTTATAATCGCCACCACAAATACGTAACCAGCGAGCCTGGAAACCATCAAGATTGATTTCGTTGTCTGTACGTAATACCACTTTCATTTTGTTAAATGTTGAATTAAATATTGGGGGAAGCGTGCGTCCACAGAGACGACTCATTTCAATATATTTATTATCCTTCCAATTGTATACTATGACAGCATCTTTTGTGCAATTAGGTCGAGATTCAACTGCAAAACGGCCTATAAATTGTAGAGATATTCTGCTGCCAATATCAGTTACTATTTCCCATGTACACTCTTGATTTTCTGAGTAACTTTTTGGATAATTTGGTGATTCAAATACACTTTCATACGTCATAAGGTATCCACCACACTGATTTTCAACATTTTTAACTATCAATTTTATCTTTGTTTCATCTTTTGGTGTTGTATGATATTGGATATAAAGTGTGGAATATTTTAGTTGAATCGGACTTTCTAGCGTTCTTTCTTTACAATAATCACCAATTTTTCTTGAAATAGTTGAAAAATCTGAATTAACTGTGATAAATTCATCCTCACAATTTAACTGGAATATACCATCTAGTTTCATTTCTATTCTTCTACCAATGGGTATAACAAGTAACCAGGCACAATCTAGAGAATCGTTGTAATTATTTGGCACTTCTATAATGTTAATTGGATTTTCTGTTACATACACCACACCACCACATGGTTGAATCTTCCAGCGAACATTAAAAGAGAATGAACCGGGTATTCTTTTTAAGGCCGTAATACTAACTGAATCTGATGGGATTCTTAAATCGGTTTCAGAGCCATCTTTACATAGTATTTGGTTGTATTTTATTGCCCTGTTGCTTAATGTAGATTTTATAGTCAATCGTGGATCCGTATATCGACAAACAGTACTAGTAACTGATGAATTTATATGCACCCTTAGATGTATTGTTCGGGCAAGTAAATCTGTAGAGTTGACTGATGCAAAATTTATACTATTAAAGTTATATTTCCAATTACATGTGTAAGACCTGTCAAGCATTGGTGATATGAATTGTCCACTTAAGCCTATTAAACGCTCTCCGCATAATGCTGGATTTTCGGAAGAATATTTTGCTTTGAATCTGTGACGTGATCCAATACTAGGATCTAACCAAATATAAAGAGACATTGTACTACCTGACGATTCTATGACCTGTGTTGTTGGTGAATAGTCTTCACTGGGAATGGTTTGTATAAGGCTACGGTGAAATTCGTCATTGTATATATTTATTCTATGCCTTTCTATATCAGCATCAATAAACTTCAAAGTCACTCTACGAGTTTCGTCTGGGACGTTAATTTTCCAGTGACAGGATCGTAAGGTCGTATATCTTGGATATCCTGGCGTAGACAGGTAACCTTCAGGAGTATCGAATATTCCTCCACATTTGGGTATCGAGGAATTAAAAGTTAAACGGAAACCTCTATAATTTGATGATTGAGTATATACACTTGGTTTGCCGATGCGAAGTTTTATAATGACGTCGTTTGTTAAAGTTTCAATTAACCCATGAGAATGTGCATTGAAAATTTCATCGTTGCAAAATTTCTTCAGTACAGTTACGGTGTTATTTTCCGGGAATGATTCTTCAATAGTTACTCTGGTATCACATGGTGCCTCAGATTCGGGCAAATTTATATCTTGGGCTTGAAACATAAAGGTGTATAATGGATTACCTATTATGCGCCATTCACAAAGTGATCCATATTTAAGTCTTGGTTTGTGAGGATATCCTGGTGATGTTATTTGTCCTGCTTTGGCAACAATTGTTCCACCACAAACATCTACTGAGACATTAGCTTTAAATCCATTATTCGGGGGAACTTTTTGTGTTGAATATTTTACAAATAGTACATTGTTACTGGTTTTGAGAGTGCCAGGATTTTCGGTATTACAGAAACGTTCTTTGAGTGGTGCTAGTTCAGAAGCTCCATCACGCACTTCTATGTATTCTAAATTACAATCAACTTGTTTGTCTAGATCAATTCGATCAAAGTCTATTCTCAAAATTTCTCCTGGAGGACCCGAAAACTTCCATACACATTCAGTGTATGGTCTCGGTATGGATGGATAATTTGGAGAGGTAATTACTTCCCAGGTGTGGTCAGAGCTTAGAATGCCAGTAGAACCACATTCTATTGTTTTTTCTTCATACCAAAGTTTAAAGCTTTTAAATTTCTTTTCTATGAGCGAATTCGTAGTGTAAGTTATAACTAAAGAATTACTTGACGTGGTCATAATACTTCTATCCTCATGTGAAAAGCCGCAAAATTTTCCACTGCCTAACAAAGGTGATTCAGAGGACTCTCCGTTATGTAAAGTTACAAAAGTAGTGCACTCTAAGGAGTTTGTGATATTAAAAAGTAGGAAATCTAGCTTGATTAATCGACCCGGCTTAACTTTTATTTTCCATTCGCATTTAGTAAAATAGTGGTCACCTCGTATCCAATCTAACCAAGAGGGACTTACCACGCCAGATACATCAGTAATTATTCCGCCACAGACAGACTGCACTGTCGCCTCAAATCCTTTAGCAGTAATTGAATTGTCAGTTTTGAATGTTATTTTAACGTAAGTCGATGCATTTATTATTTTATCTACATCTGCGTGTAAACAAACTTTTGATTTAATAGGTTGCCATTGATTAAAATTATCGGATGTAAAGATAGAAAGCGAATCCGCAAAACATCCTGATGTTTCTTCCAACTTCATATTAGGAAAGTCTAAACGTAAGTGATAGCCAGCTGTCGTTTTGTAAAACCATGTACAATTTAAATTATTATCGTAATGTGCAGGGTAATTTGGTGAGGTAAAAGTAAGCATTTCACCGGGCTCGACGAGCTGAGTGTGATTTGATCCACAATTAATTTTTTTCTCGAACGGGTAATCGTTTGTAATGCTATCAGTTTTGGTCCATTCTAAGAAAAATAATGAGCCCGTGTTGCTATAATCAAGTTTTAGTTTTATGTATACAACGTTGGAGGTAGTTTGAAGTGATTTCTCATTATAATTAATTATTCCACAAAGGTTTTCTAATAAAAAGGCTTCCTCATCATATCCATCGTAAATGGCAAGGTAATTTGAGCATGAATCCCCATATGCCATTATTTGTAATCTTGATACACGAAGAGTGATGGTGCCAGATGACACGGTTACTCGCCATGAATACTCAGCAGCACCTTCGTACAGAGAAGGATAAAGAGGTGAAGCGATACGTCCATCATTTGAACCGCTTATGTCATTTCCGTGAATAAAACCATAATTTATCATGAATCCGGTGTTTGTGGCTTGGTCGTCGCTATGGAATTTTATGTATAATTTTGCAGCGGAAGTAGTATTCGTTGGTATGTCGTTTCCACAGTAGAGTCCTAGTAGTGGACCCCCACTATCGTTTTCTCTTACTTCTACATAGTCTTGGTTGCAATTTTCAGAATACTGTAACTTGAAATTTTCAAATAATATATAAACTTTGTTCCCTGGTGATGTTTCTAAAGTCCACTCACAGTCTGTATTAATGGGATATGGATGGGGATAGTTTGGTGAAGAAATAGCCCCTTCTTCTGATGTCAATGTGCCTCCGCAAGCACTAGAAAATGAAGTATAGTGTGCCGAAAATGTCCCTTCAATATTGTTGCCATAAGTTCCAAGTTCAATAGTCAATGCATATCCATGACTTACAATACTCGGTGGAATTTTCCGCCCACAAAATTCACCAACTATAGGCGACATATCGTCATCGCCATCGTGAATACGAAGAAATGTTGATGGACAACTTTTGTTAGATAGCACATCATAATTTTTTGATAACGACATATGGGTTAACGTTAAAGTTATTTTTTGGTCGAGCCTAGGAGCTAGGATAGTCCATATACAACTTTTATTTGTATGTCTCAAGAATTGATTATTGGCTATTATACCATCTCGGGTAGCATTTATAATAGCACCACAGATCATTGTGAAATTGACTTTAAAGCCCTTTGCTGTGTTTTCGCCGTCAGTAAGAAATTGAAGAGTTAAAATATTACTTTTAGATATAAATTGTTTAGTTTGTGTTCTAGGGCAGATAATTTCAGTATAATTGGTCTCTCTATAGAAAGGAGTATAGTAAAGATTGATTCTATCATTACAATCCTCATCACCTTCATAATATAAATCTAAATCTATGAAATTCAATTCAATACGGTGATTAATAGGGACCGTAATCTTCCATATGCAATCTAGATTGTTGTCATAGTTATTCGGATAATTTTTAGAGTAAAATGATCCTGATGCAGCTGCAATATCTGCGCCACAGCTAGATTGCCATGAGTGAAAGGTAGATGTGAAGTAGAGATCCTTTAAGTTAGAACGTTTGGTTAAACGTATTAACATAAATTTCGAAGTAGATTGTATGTGAACATTAGAGTGGTGACAAAACTTAGTTAAGATGGGTGAATTAGACGTCTGACCATTAAATACTTCGATTGAATCTACGCTGCAATTGGGAGAATCCGTCATGTATACCGAGTTAAATATTATAATAATGCTTGTACCCAGTGGACTTTCGATTAACCATTCACATTCCATTTCTCCACTAGCTGTAGATCTTCTATCCATATTTATAGAGCCGAATCGTTTTTTATAATATCCGCCACATCCATAACTCAACCACTCAAGACGAAATCCTGTAAGAGTTCTGTATGACCCTGTTACAAATTTTATTTGTAGGGAATTGCTCTGTGTACTTTTAATGTGTGGAACTGAATTACCACAATATTTTTCTGAAAAATCTGGTTGGTTACCCTCTTTCCATTGTAAATAATGAGAATGACACTTTGGTCGAAACCTTGAAGACCAAGAAGGACGATAAGAAGTAACGATGTTGAAATGAGTAAACGTTACATTTATTTTATGTCCTTTGGGTGCATTAATGGTCCAGAGACAATTCAAATCCGTGCCATAGTTACCCGGATAGCCAGGACTTTCAATAACACCGTATTTGCCGCTAATGTTAGCTTGACAAATTGTATCAAAATTAATCAGAAAACCTTTACTAACTATATAAAAATCAGTCTGGAATTTAATAAATGCCGTGTTACTTGTAGTTTCAATGATATTTAATGTAGGATTCATATAGCAAAACTTTCCAAAACTGTTCGAATTTTCATCTCTTCCATCAAAAATTTCCACGTAGTCGTCTTTACAAGACGCCATTCGTTCTAAATCTAAGTCAGCAAATCGTATTCGTATCCGTGATCCTTCATTGGCAACGATTCTATAGAAGCATTCTGCATTTTCATAATAATCGTCCGGATAGTTCGGAGATGAAATTGTCCCTTGTGGACTGGTCAATGTTCCACCACAACCTGTTATTGTGCCATCCCATTCGATTTTAAAACCATTACCTGTTAGATAGTAATCAGAGTGAAATCGTAAATACAGTTTATTTGCCATTGATATAATACGTTTTGATTTAAAATTCCCACAGTATTTGCCTATTAATGGGGAGTTCCGTGTTGCACCATTTCGGATTTCCAAGTAATCACCGAGGTCACATTTATCGCGTATGGGTCGTTCTAAATCAAATTGTGAAATATTAAGCATTATTTGTTGACCTACGGGTACTGTAATAGTCCAAGTGCAGTCGCGATTAGGCTCATATTTCTTTGGCCAACCTGGTGAATATATAAATCCATGGGACTTTGCATAAACAGCTCCACAATGTGTTCTCTCATCTAAAAATGTGTATGATAATGAAAATCCAGCTGATCGGATACTAGCATCCGATTGAAATCTTATCATTAAGCGATTTGTAGTAGTAGTCAACGATGGAGGATGTGATACACCGCAGAATTTACCAAGAGTTTCATTATTATTACTACTATCGATTTCAATAAGTTCTACATAATCACTGTCACAGGTCACATGATTTTCGATTTCGAAATTGTTCCATGTTATTTTAATGTGCATTCCTTCAGGTGCGATTAATACCCATGTACATTTTTGGTTGTTTCGAGTAGTTGATGTGGAATCCTCTCCAGATGGGTGTTTTATTAGACCTGTGGTATCCTTGTATATTCCGCCGCATTCTGTATCGATTGTGGTATAATTTGCATAAAATCCAGTACCCGAAATACTCATATCAGAGTTGAAGCGTATATAAAGATAATTATGTGTGGAAGTTTGTACAGGAGGGATATGTTCCGATCCACCGCAAAATATTCCTAAAAGAGTTGCATTGCGATCAGAGCCATCTCTTATTTCAACATTATCATATTTACAATTGAAATATAAGTTATCTTCGATATCAAAATCTTGAAAAGTTAACTGTATTGCTTTTCCAGGAACAGTTCCAATAATATATTCGCATACTTTATTAGCAGGATAACTAAAGGGATATCCAGGCGATTTAATGATACCGCTATCTCCGAAAAATATTTTCTGACATATTGTTTCAAAAGAAATTTTAAATCCTTCAGATGTCGCACTGTGGTCGGATTTGAAAATAATAAACAGACTATTCGATGAGGAAACAAACGATTTCGGATAAGAACTACCGCAAAATCTACCAACTAGTTTCGAATTTGTTGATGGACCATCGTAAACCTTCAAATAATCATATCTGCATCTCACAGAACTTTCAAGTTTAAATGATTTAAAGTCTATTCGAATTTTAGAGTCAGGACTTGCTACAATTTTGTACTCACATAACAAATTATCTAAATAATAACCATTATATGAAGGTGAAACTATTTCACCTTTGTCCAAAGTATAATAACCACCACAACCTGGTATGCCTTCAACAGGAGCATAAGTTATTTGAAACCCGTTCCCAGAGCCGTATGCGTCTGAATGAAAATGTATAATCATTTCGGAGCTAGACGATTGGAGAGGTGCAGGTTGTGTAGAATTACAGTATTTAACAAGTGGGTTACTAGTGTCTTCACCGTCATATATTGCTAAGTAATCAAAACTACAATTAGAGTGAGATTCTATATCTAATGCGAAGAAATGTAATAAAATTCTTTTTCCGAAGGTACTAGTCAAATGCCAGTAGCAATCGCGATTCGGCGGATATTTGCCAGGTGAACCCGGTGAATTAATATGTCCGTAAGTTGTAGCATCTATTTCACCACCACATATAGGTTTGATGCTGTCCCAATGAAGGGAGAACCCTTCTTTGGAAACAGTTTTATCAGATCGAAACCACAAATATAAGTTATTACTGCTAGATATAATATTACCGCCTTTTGGCAATTCATTTCCACAAAATCTACCTATCAATTGACTAGATGAAGTTCGACCATCATGTATTTGTAAAAAGTCATACATACACTCGGGTTCCGGTTCTAAATTGAATTTATTGAAAGTGACATTTATTACTTTGTTCATCGCCGTATGGATTACCCAAGCACATTTAGAGTTATGGTCATAAGAACTATTAGTTAAAGGATATATAAGGCTACCTTCCTCAGCGTCTAAAACACCACTGCACGATTTAGCTTTTATCTGACATAAATTTCCTGTGTATTCAGCCGTACACTCACATCTGAAACCTGTAGAACTATCGCCTGGTCTACAACTACCTCCATGTTGACATGGATTACTCGAACAATAGTCCACAGGAATTTCACAATGAACTCCACTGTAACCTTCATTACATAAACAGGTGTAACCCGATCGAACTGAATGACAATGACCGTTAACACATGGGTTATTTTCACAGTGTTGAGTGGAATTTCCTCCTGTTGTAATGTAGCAACCTTGAAATCCGACACCGTCACCGTCCATTCCCAGGGGGCAAATGCATTGTACTACGGCCATGCTTTCAACACACTGTGCAGAAGGATGACAACCACCGTGATTGATATTACAACTACCTCTCCAAGTGCATGTTGTTCCATCTCCTTGATAACCAGGTGGACAAGGGCCGCAAATACGAGATCCTATAGTGTTATGACACGCCACTAACGGGCTGCAGCCACCGTTCGCAATAGTTTCGCATTCGTTAATGTCGTGACATACAAAGCCGTCTCCTTCATATCCTGATGGACACTGTCCACATCTAAATGATCCAGGTAGATTTATACAATCGACTTTTGGGTTGGCGGAACAGCGGACTCCGTGACTGGAGTCACATTCGTTTATGTCTGTCAAGCAGGCAACGCTGGTATCGTTTGTTTGCCAACCTTGATTACATATGCACTTTATACCTTCTCCGCTCGTAACAGGGACACAGGTACCAAAACCACACATTTCAAAGTTTCCTGCAGAACAATCTTTTGCTCGTCTTGTACAATGTATTCCAAACCAACCCGAAGCACAGAAACATTCGTATGTCCCTGGTTTATTTATGCATGATGCTCCGTTTTGACAACCTAAATCTGTTCCAGCAAAATTTCGACACTCGTTCACATCAACATCACAGTTTTTTCCTTCCCAATTTGGCGGACATAAACAATGATATCCGTTCACTAAGTTCAAACAGGTACCACCATTTTCACACGGATTGTTTCGGCATTGGTCGCTGGCCATGTTACTTATTTGACTTTGGAGGGTTATTACGCGATTATTCAGTCTATTGATTCTTCTTGTTAAAAGTGTTATGTTTCGGATTATAACATGATCTTGTGGTGTTGCCGTTACTTCACGTTCCAATCTATCTAATCTAATTAAAATTCCGTTAGAGCCACTTAAGAATTTTTCAAAGTTATCATTTGTAGCAACTGGATACCGGTCGCTATTATCTGAAATACTCAAATGAAGTAAATTCATATCCTCCACGAAAATACCTGATTTAGGTCCATTAGCACGCAGATAAATATTCTGATCATGAGCTGCTTCGAGAATAAGATGTCCATTCAAAGTTGAAATTTTCGGGCGGTTTTGAAAACTTTGACATTTAAGTTGCACGAACCACACCACCAAGACTAAACATCTGATGAGAATTGTAGACATTGTAAAAGGATCTATATTCAAACTCAAATTTCAAACAACTAAATTGTTAATCGACAGAATGACCGCTTTTTATGAACTGTCCTAAAGGGGCGTATGTTACGCCCCCGACAAAACATATCAGGTAACATTGCATTAGAGTGGAATTGTCTTCGATAAGCAAGGGCCATGTGTTATATTATGCAGCTATTATTATCCTTAGTTGGAGAGTGTTGATTTTAATTTTTATGCCTAACTGGACATGAATGTGGACAGGAAAGCACATTAGTCTTAAATACAGTTCAATTAATTTAATCAAACATAGATTACCCAATTTGAAATTAAAATCTAGTAGTTTATAATCATAATTATAAATACTTTAATACTATTTCAATAAAGAGTTTGAATTTGATCAAAACGAGCGGATTTCTATACAGTTTACACAAACTGTCGATTAAAATTTGATTAATGGGAGTCTTCCATCATCATAATCAATGTTTTTACCTCCCCACTGCTGGGTTTCAGGTCTTCATTATGAATGGTTAAGGAGGATGGGCCATGACCCTCCACGTTGGGCCAATGCAGACCGCTAATTGATTAAGGGACCAACGGCTTAACGCGCCTTCTGTAGCACGAAGTAGCTCGAGATAATATCTTTTTGGTCTCCCATCCCGAGAGCGACCCTTGCAAAAGTTGCTTAACAACAACGATAGCGGGCCCCGACCCTTATCTACTATGCCACCAAGTCTTCCATATTAAGTATTAACGGGGCGCTATAGGGTTTACGTAAGTCTGGTTGAATATTAAAATAAATAATTTTTGATGATGGTGAATGATGAGAGTTATGATAGTATAATGCGCGGGACGTAAGGTGCAGGCTCTCACACCTGCACACAGTTCGTAACCAAAGCAACGCAGTATACCGGAGACCGGGACCTGAGAGTTATCATAACCTCTCATAGCAATGTTTAATCCGTGAAGCAAGCGGGACACCGATATTGTTTGTTATAGCGTTGTCCCGCTCGCTGAATATAACACATTTAAGAGCTCATGGTTAGGGCCCTTGCGCAGAATATCGCAATGTTGGTTTAACTTGAATCACCAAAATTTATATGGAAACAAGTACACACGAATTTAAAATTACAAGAGGACTTGGATCGTCTCACAGAGTACAACAAGATCACAGTTAACAATGGAAAATGCATGTATATAAAATTCACAAGACGTAAACAACCGATAGAATATGATTTTAAATTAAACAATGAGCCAATGAAAAAGGTTATTACGGTAAGAGATCTAGGAGTGAATTTGGATTCAAACTAAACATTTGCCAATCACTTTGAAAACACAATTAACAAGGCATATAAAAATCTCGGATTTATTTTTAGAGTAACTAAGGAATTTAAAGATTTTCACTTGCATGAAAATATTGTATCACGCGTATGTATAGTCTATCCTTGAATATTGTAGTGTTGTCTGGAATTAAAAATATGTCACGCATGAACACGCTCTTGAAAAACTACAAATGAAGTTTGTAAAATATTTGAATTTCAGACTCAACTATATCTCAAGTAGTTACGAGGAGTCCTGTAATAAACACAGTCTCGTTAGTCTTAGGGACAGGCATCGTATAAGAGATATGCTCACTCTTTACGATATCTATTCGGCACTATTAGATTGCATCGGGTTAGTTAACAGAATGGTCTCCTTGAACGATACAACATATAAAATAAAATACCTTTGTTAAAGGGAAGTAAATAAATTAACAATAGAGTTTGTTTAATAAGTAACCGAATCACAAGAACAGTGATGTCATCCATGGAATGTATTTGTTACCTCTTAGATTACTAATGTTCAATATAACGGTTTTCCAACCGCAATGAGTATTTGTTTAGCCAAAGCATAATATACCTACATCTTATATAACTTCTTTCTTTTATTCATAGTTAGATTTTGGCAGTCATGTTTTTTTAATTATTTATATTTTATTCCTTTTATTAATAGATAAAAATTATATATAATTGGCATGTACTCATCAAGGATTTGAATTTGATACTCATATTGCTATAATTAAGGTATTTTCTTTATATTTTTTTAAAGTGACATTCGCCATGTTAAATAGTTTTTTAATATATTTAACCAGTGTCACTCGGGATGATGTAACGTTTCTAATGTGTAGTAACACTTGATATGTTAAATATTAATTTTTTTTTTAAATATTTAACAACATCACATACATTGCTCAGATTCCAAGATGAGTAGCTAAAGCCCCCGTATTATGGAGTATCTGAGACAACGAAGGTACCACAACACCCAGATCCAAGACAATATAGAAAAGTTCATTTTCTACATTGACCCAACCGGGAATCGAACCCGGGACCACAGAGATGGCGACACCTTGAAACTTGAAACGGTTTGAATCGAGGATGGAACTACTATGAAATCATAATACAAGTTGTAACAGGTACAAAATTTTATTAAGAATATCTTAAATCAGTCATTTTATACATATAATTACAGTACAGAGATAATTAATAAATGTTAAGTGAATTATTAGTAAATATCTATTGTACTTTTTTTTTACAAATTAAATGCATTACACAATATGGCAACAGCAACATTAATTATTGCGCATTTCTATGGAGCAAGAAGTTCAACATTTTATAACGTTTATTATCTAAATATGTAATTAAAATTATAGCGGTTTGGTTGTTGACAAGAGAAATATATGATATTAATCTATTTAGTACATAAGTTCTTTTTAATTATTGACGTTGCCCTTGTAGATTTCGCCAGAATATAGTGTTTCGCTCAGTTTATTTCACAAATTTAGACGATATTTATTTATGTTATCGACATATAATTTCCAACACTAGAAAAAAGAACTTTATGCCGTTGAAAAAACAAAATACATGTAACAACTGAAAGGAGAATGTTACGAAACAAAAAAAAAAAACGGCAAAATTAATACCGAAGTCAAAAGAATTTACTCTCGTATCTATAGTCGAATACACGTAATTGCTTGAGTAAAATATATGACTAATTAAATAACTTTCGTAAATATTTTTAATCAATAGACGATAATTTGAATGAATTAAGAACTTCCAATAGCTAATAATAATAATAGTATTCTAACTTTTAAGAGTTCCTATTTTATTAAAATTCCTGTTTATTTATTAAAAATATTTGCTTAAGTAATTAATTCTACTCGACTATAGATACTGTGTTAATATAAAAAATAACTGTCAGTTGAGTTCAAACTATGACTTTGAAATAAGTCTATAAATTTGATTGGACGTACAAATATGTCATATGTTCCGCCCACTAAGTAATTTGCTTCAGTTATATGAATTTAGCCTAAGTATCCTGGTTAGATATTATAGTTTAACAACATTATTTACGTTTTTCAATATTTTAATGACATTGCAAAGAAAATAATAATAAACAAAATTTTAACATGCATTAGTATACTAACATTCCACAAATAACTAGGTAAATTACATTAATATTTTATTTACAATTAGCACACCATTTTTATCTATATTTTACAAAGACAATAATATTTATTCTTATAATATAAATTGAGGCACTTACAGTGAAATAGCACCAATATGAAATTTCACATAGCTACAGTTGTCCCATAATTCTAATCAGTTCCTTTAGCACGGAAATGGTAAGCTGCGAATCGAATTCGCGTCCAAAAAAATGTCAAATTTACAAATATAAATTATGCCTAATTATAAAACATCTATTGATATTCGTACAGCGCCACCTGACACTGTAAATAGAACTACGATTTTAAATACACTAAATTGACAATTGTGCTCGATACGAATTCAATTTTTACACTGTGGTTTTTCGTGCTAAGGACACTGTTATCTAGTTATAAATAACTTACACTGAGAAACTAATATAATGTGAAAACATTTTGATTAACTTTTAGATCTCATTGTATATATAAGAAGTTATTTTTATAGCTTCCTCGTCACCGTTCTTTTAAGTAACTTCGACATCAAACATAAGTAAACGAAGTGTTAATGGTAATGATCTAGTCTTTGACTAGGGTAGAGCGGGATTCTCTCATAGTGCCTTTTTGGTTAATGATTTTACATGGATTTTGTGTTAATTTATGTTAAGAATAAGTTGCCACAATAACCAACTTTCACAACACCATTATTATTACAAAGAATAATTATATATTGGATTTTTAAGGCACGATTAAAATTTAAATGTTCTATATATAGCTTTCATCACTTGCTCTACCACAGAATTGGGGTGTGAAATTATTGCTTCGTTGCGATTCGTATTCAGAAACCGATTTACGTGATGGTAGGATCTTATTGATTTTATTAGCATGCACATTTTTGCAACTTAGCACGCTTATAGCTAGAGGTAATTTTATTATAAATTAACGACGGAGACAAAGATAGTGGGTATGTTTTTAGCATTATAGCGGTGCGACGCGAACGTGTATTATTTTGTGAGATCGATTTTGATCAGCAGCCATGATGAATTAATTGAATTCGAGTCAATTTTTTCAGAAAACATTAACATTCTTAGAACCGTTACACAAAAAATTGTGATATTGTGATATACATTGTAACTGGTTTAAATATAATTTTATTTATTTTAGCGTTCTCATATAATATTGATATTGCTATGTGGCACATCACAACTTAATAGTTTATAAACAAACTAGTTTTGTGTTTAATAGTCGATTCTTTTTTAATAGTCGTAAGATCTAAACTAGAACGTGCTAGGTGTCTTCACTCAGGAGGGTGGGGGATGACACGTTACTTAAATCGTTCTTATTGGTCAACATTGCCGTACTTTGAAGTTTTAATAATAATGAGTGACTAATGGCAATTTCAAATAGTATAGAAAATGCACCACCAAGTACCATTCCAGTTAGTTTCGCGATATTACATTCTGAATATAAAATAATAATTTGTGAAAGTACCGATGCATAGTAGTATGTACTACCAGGCGTCAAATAATTGTAAAATGTGTCATCACAAGTACAAGCATAAGTAAGATGATGTTTTTCTATATAACTGTGGCCATCTAGTGCGGCCATAATGTAACAAAAATAGCTTTACGAATTTTTCGAGTTAGGAAGGTATTTTATAATATCTGTGGTTCAGCATAGGTACATTGATGAGATACATTAGTTTTATCTTACTGTTTTGAAATAAAAGGTGTTTATTATTGTGTCGGACGCTAAATTAGTCATACAGATACTATAATGGTTAGTTTACAAGTATTTAGTAGTTAACTAAATTAATAACACAATTTTAAGTGATTTTGCGTATTTGCAGGTATTTACATCAGGTTTCTGAATTGAGAATTTAAAGTTAACATGTCTGAATATACTTAAACGTAACTTAAACAGGTTTTCTCATATCTGCACGTGTAGCTATCGAACTCGAGACACGCTTTGTCTACACCCAAATGTCACTTTCTCCGGTCGGTGAGATGTTGTATGAGCGCACCCAAGAAAAGTGAGAACATTTAAGTTTTTGAGAATAATCAGTTGAGATTTTGTACTCTTTTCAATTTATAAGCCGGCCGTATAACTTAAGATAAATACTTATCAACATAATACGTGTAAACCAGCCTAGAGGTTTTATAATGTGTATGTTACAGGCCTGTATCAGTAGAGGTAGGGTGCGGGTGAGGGCGGGGGCGCTCGGGCGGCGGGCTCGGGCTCCGACTCGCAGGCGTCGGTGGAGGCGGGCGTGGGCGGCGGCGGCCGGTTGCACGCTCGGTAGTGACGGTACGCGCGACGCCGCGCCGCCGCCGCCGCCATCGCTGACTCGGACCCACCGCTCGCGGTAGCCGGCGACGGCGGCGGGTTAGCTGTCGGCTGCGGGTACCGCTCGCAGAGGCTTTCGGTTACCCTGTTTTATTGATTATTAGAGTAAGTTTTTAATCTGGGATCATGAAGGCCCCCCAAACTGATATATACGCATATCCATTCCCAATAAAGGGCATGCCCAAGGTTTTTAGTTGGTAGATTTCCGCTCTTTGACCTGCTAGATTTAGTAGGACCGTTAGCTGAAGAGATTCTCACATACCCATCTTGTGCGTGATGGGTATGTGAGAATCTGCTGGGATGTGACGTGCTGGGAAAGCGTAACGCTATTTATTTGAATCAAAGCGATTACTGTATAATCAGTTGTCACTGTTGAACTATAGCAACATGATTTTTACGAGTAGTTGCTTAATACCTCCACTTCCAAACACACACTAACACACGCACTTAGTAAATCACAACCAAGAAATAGTGAATTAATAAATATAAATATTAGTGAATTTGTGTCTATTGATAATAAACTAATTTTAAATAAATAAGACAAATAGCAATATAAGTTATCTATATTTTTGAAAAACATAGTCGGGTAATTGTGCACATACCTTGTATTATGTAAAAACTTGGAATTTTGATTTAAGCGATCCAGTCATAGCCATAGCGTAGCTCAAAGTAATTGATGTAATAGAGTAAGTCTTCTTTGGAAATACTAGTGGCCGCCCGCGACTTCGTCCGCGTGGAAGTCGGTTTCCTATTACAAAGGGGTATGACCCTTATCACTAAGGGGTATGAAAAAACATCCATGTTGGCCGACTCTCAAACCTACTCAATATGCTCATAAAATATCATGAGAATCGGTCAAGCCGTTTCGGAGGAGTACGGGAACGAAAATTGTGACACGAGAGTTTTATATATATACAGCTATTTGCACAAACGTCCATTAAAGTTTTCATTAGTTTTTAATGTGGCATTCGTTCAGTTGCACAAACGTCCATTACAGATGACGACTTTAAGCTCTAATGAATGTTCCAAATTTGATAATTTGTATAGGTAATGTGGCGTTAGACTATTGAGAATTTTAATGAACGTTTGTGCAACTGGCTGATTACACAACAAATTTTGACATTCATTATAGCTTAAAGGTGTCATTAACGGTTGTGCAACTGGCCGTAAGAGATTTAAAAAAAATATGGTACTGACTCTGTGCACGCGCGCGTGGTCGGCGTGCGTGGTTTGTGCCTGGGCAGCTGTAGCGGTATCGGCAGCCGGCGGGGCGGCGCGGGCCGGCGGCGGCATCGTACAGCGGCCCACACGCCCACGCCCGCCGCCCCGCAGCCCGCCACCACGCCGCACACAGCCGCCGCGCTCCACGATCTACTGCTCACACTCTGCGGACACACGACGCACATTAAAATCACTGTACGCACGCCTTACGGCTGGTTTAGACCAGAGGTTCCCAAACAATTTTTTCTCGTAGACCATTTTAATTTTTTTTTACCCTATTCCCAAAATTCGTCCAAAATGTGAAGATCTAACGATGGAAATTGGCGCCCTATTTTTATTTCACGCCCTATTTTTATTTTAAGACCTCTGGGGGTCCACTTGGACCACTTAGCGAATCACTGGTTTAGACCAATGATGTATAAAAAAAATTTAGATGCGATCTCCGCGCAATGTTGAAAACAAAAAAGCAAAGCAAATGCCCGAGTTTCTCTTAGTCACGTTCCAGCAAGCGTTGTGGCTAATGTCATTTTTGCTCTTAATTATCAGTGAAAAGATCGATGCACAAATTACATATTGACATTCAGTTGATGCGTAAGTACTGTACTTACTTATTATATTTTAATAGAAATAATAAAACGTCGTTGAAAGTATTATATAAAATTGTTACTAGTTCTCAAAATAAATTTATATTGGATAAAATAGTAGTTTATAGACAACTCGGAATATTACCGGTTCTTTTTGTTCACAAAACGCGGGTAATTCATCAGATCCATCTTCACAGTGTTGATGTCCATCGCAGAGAAGCGACTGCGACAGGCACAACTTCTCATCGCATCTAGAAATGAAATAAAAAATATAAATAAATATTGCTTTCCCGTCTGAAATTTAACAATTCAGCATGTCAAAAACCTAAATTATATGAAACTGATACTCTGTACAATAAAATAACTATTTACACTATAAGATATTTACGGCATCACTACTGGCTGGCTACTTTATACAACGGGAAAGAATATATTCAGGTAGGAAACAGTCAAATAATAAAAACAATTTCTAAACTATTATTTATATTTAAGGTTTCAATACTTACAAATTTCCGTAACACAAATATTAGGAGAGAATTTAAACAAAATAAAAGAATTTAATGCAGTTTTCATCAATATACAGAGTAATTAAAGAGGAAGGTTTACATGTATATGTAATAGAGTAGTTCAAAATGACTAAAATACATTAAATGTTAAGAAACTAGCGTGCTAATTTATAAACGCGCTAGGTACATATTAAAAAGGGTGCCTGGGAGACACATTAAATGAAGCAGCACATTAAATTTCGTAGCACGTTATTTACTACATGTCAATATTTGAACCGAGTGCGTGTTAACTATAATTGCTTACTAAAACAATAATTTATGAATATTTTATTCTAATATAAGTGATTTAAAAGTAAATGAACTATGTACCTTCACTAAAATTTGTCCTTATATTTATTAACATTACGATCTTTATAAACACGTACTCGTAAACAAATATCTAAATTTATATATTTATTTTTGATTTTTACTAACAATTTTTGTTTTATTTTTCTCACGTAACTGCTTTTTAATCAAAACAATTTAAAATATTAACTAACTGAACTATAATAATATATACGATCATATTTAACATGCCACGAGAATAATCGTTGACGCGTCCATTAACATTCGCGCCCACACGTTGACTGCAGGATCGGCTTCGCGAGCAATTGTATTCAACGTACCGAGAGAATAAATCATTCACACTTGCATTAGTTTTCGCGCCTTATGATGGTTGCGCGACAATATTCTAAGTGCTAATTTAACCACCTCTAATAAATTAGTACTATATACGTGTAAGTTAGTTTTATTATTAAAAACTTTTTTTTTTTGCGATTCCTGTTAATTTGTTTAAAAAGAGGTTGGTAGATAGACAGCTAGTATAGTTACCGAAAGGCGGCGGGTAGGGGCGCGTGTGGGCAGAGTGCCCCGGCGGGACATGAGGCGAGCGAGTCCGCGCACGCTCCGTCTGTGCACCGCACACCGCCCGCGCACGCGCCGCAACCCACGCCCTCGTCCGACCCGTCCGGGCAGTCGATCTGACCGTCGCATCTGTCACAACAATCAACGGGATGACGATGAGTATAGATGGCTTTATACTCATCGTCATCCCGTTTTTCATTGAATAGAATGAAAAGATATAATAAAAATGTTCTAATTCTCGTTACAAGTATTGACGTTTTAAACCGTAATCGTAATGTTAATAATAGCTCGGTGGCGTAGTGGATAAGCGCCGCGGCCGCTTCCGTGTTTCGGAAGGCACTTTAAGCCGTTAGTCCCGGCTGCATTTGCAGTTGTTAATACCCTCCAATCCGCATTGGGCCAGCGTGGTGAGTCATGGCCCATTCTCCTTTACCATCCATAAGGAAGGCCTGAGCCCCTGCAGTGGGGACGTAAAAGGGCTGATGATGATGATGAGGCAACAATCCAGCGCATATGGCAGTTCGTATCACCCTTAATCTCTTCGAGGGAATCGTTATCAATTGTTTTTCCTTGGCTGGTTGACTTGAAACGTTATGTAACGTTTATGTATCCGGTGTGATTGTGAACATACGTCCTTTAGTATGGGGGTATTTGTATTATCTCCTTTCGGCCGCTTACTGTTATATACAGCACAAGTCCATTCTCGTTTAGCACCTTTACTCGTTGCTCCATAAAAACTGTGAAATCGTTGCTCGGGCACACCGGCATAAGACAGATTGTATATACTATTAAGAAGAAACATTTTAAGTACTGCTTATTTTTTGACATTCAAACATCCAGTGCAACTCTGCATCCTTGTCGCCTTTTCCCTTCCTCTCTCTTCTGATGAACTTTCTCCTATCTTATATATAAATGTAATTTCATCATATTTTTTATTTTCCATATACCTCAATATTTACATATAAATTGATCTGGGGTCATCCATAAATTAAGTCACACTTTAGGAGGGGGGGGGGGGGGTCGACGAACTATGACATTAGAACTTATTTATATTTTAATAATTAATAAATAATTTAGCTTTTGCCTAGTACATTACTCACCTCCAGTCCATGGGTATACAGTGGTGGTGTGGCGCGGCGGGTCGGCGTGACAGATGACATAGGAAGTGTCCGGGAGCGCATGCGGGACGCTCGCAGTCGCCACCGCAGCCGCACAATCCGCCCGCGAGACATGCGCCTGGTCCACCGCCGCATACTCGACCGCCGTAACACGGATGCGAACGACTCACCTGCTCGTTTTATTACAAAGATCAAAAAATCAATATAGTACAATAGAGTTCAAAATCGATCAACTTATTTTTTGTAGATTAGACAACGAATTTAATGTTTATAAACACCACTGCATGTTATAAAAAACAATCTGTTTGTCTCGAGATAAGTTAGAAAAGTAGTTTTTTTGTAGGTACTTTCTGTAAATAAAAGAATTGTAACAATTCATTACGCAAGTTTAGTTCTTCTTTTTTCGATGCATGGCCTATTTGTGATTACACAAGATTCCGCCAATGTTACGTTGGTGGCCTTTACACACAAAGTGACATTAAAAAGGTAATAAAACGAGAAACTAAGCACATTATTAAAGGGTATATAGTTAGTTAAGGTAACTGTTTCGAAAATTGATTATTTGACAGTTATATGTTGGAAATGGTAACATATATGTATATGTGAACAATAACTAAGCAGTATTCTTTGCTTTAAAATAAATTGTATTTTTGTAAAATAAACTTGTAACTTATAAATCTGTGGATTAAAAGGATAAAACACGGGCGGCCATAACGGAGCACTGTCTGGTGTCATATTTTAATAAAGTAAACGTTGTTTCAAATGGAGTACAGATTTAGGAAATTGTGTTTCTATGGAGTCGTATATGTATTTTAAAAAATTGATGAAATTTCGTTATCAGAGTAGAATAGGCCGTCAGGTGTAATGTAACGAGTAGTAAATATTGGTTGATTCCACAGAAATAAATCTAGTTAGAAGGAAAATGTTCGTCGATTTATATGGAGACCGAGCGTGCCACATTTTGTGTAGGTATCATGACGTCACGATCTTAATTTAGTGATGGAAGACATAATTTCACTTGCATCGAATACATGTTGTATTTGAAACGGCATACCGATTCTTATCGATTGAAAAAACGATATCGATCGACGGAGACCAACGTGTACAGTCTGTCTATAAAGTCATGAAAAGAATGTTTGAGGAACTAACATTAGACACAAGTATGACAACACTGAATCAAAGTACATCGACTGTCAACAACTTGATTTTTTAGCTCGATTTTCTGCATTTTTGATTTGTTTTGATTAAACTGAAGCTACTTCTTCTAAACTCCGTCGAAAAGTGTTAAAAATGAAGAGAATTAATCAGAGTGAAGCTCAGGATATTATTTATAAAGTTTTTCAGTGATGTTTATTGGAACAAGAAGCTGGACACATTTTATCATATTTGTAGGATGTTAAAGCTCGAACGGCAGTTATGGCTGTATGTAATCGTGTTACTGATTGAGTTTTGGTTACCAGAAGTTTCAAATTTACTAAATATATGAATTTAAGTCTAAAAGAAGTATTGATTACATTATGCATTTATAGGTTAGATTGAAAATGTTAGAAGGCTATATTGTAGTGCGGCCCGAACTTTCAATACTTTTGGATAATTTATCATTGATTTTAATCTGAATAAAAAATATACCTGTTAGGAATGTACGATTTTACCTACGTACGCCAATAAATAGTTTGTGCTTTATATTACTAAAATTATAGCATTAATTTGATCATTGTGCCGATTCCATTCTTTTTGCCAAATACCTATAGGTATTACATTTTTAAAACTTACTTTCAGGAAAATCAGAGAATATAGTGATACGTATTGTAGATGAAGGTTATAAAAATGGTGGCATATTTGAAACCCCTGGGAAACATAGATAGTCGTCCTAAGAAATAAGTGGTTAACTGCAACATTTGTGCACTTCGACAAAAGATTCAGTTCTTTTACTCTGTGAAAAAAGAGGTACCTACATGAAGAAAACATCAGTGGATTGCCAAAACCGATCTGGATTTTAATTGTAGCCTAGAAGTTCTGCGTTAAATTCTGAAATATATTGGGTTTTCTTACAAGGAGTGTCAAAGTGACAGGCTTTAATCGAACACAAGCACACATTGCAGTAAAACGAGAAAACAACTTGGCAATTATAAAAAAAAAAGATTTATCAAAAATTACGATTACTATATTGTAATCTTCAATGTAGAATAAACTCATTGTCTACGAATTATACGCCTTTCTTTACCTTTTCTGGGGTAATAAAAGTAAAAAAAAAATCCTTCTATCAAAATCATTTGTCTCACTACACAGGGTTGCTACGTGCACGATCGCAGCGCCCCTCAATTTTTTTCATGACTTTATAGACAGACTACCATTTTGCTTAAATATTATGTATATGTAACGAACTCACGAATGTAATTTAGTGAATCGGCGCAAAAAAGATTTTATGCGATAGAATAGAAATTGGCATTTTTCTGTGGGCAAACACTTTGTAGTAGCCGCTTTGTAGTAGTCAAATTAAAGCCGCAATGGAAAGCTATTACTGGACACATGACCGTTTTGATAAAAATAATACGGAGCAACAAAACTAATGATTTTTAATTCAAAATAGATATATCAAGGCAAATAGTTACTTACCGATGGAAGGAAATACCTCGACTAAAGATCCAACCATATTGGTGGTGTTTGAGCAGGTAATTATCGAACAACGCATCATTTAAATTTCGTCCAACACCGATTGCGATCGAAAGTGGACTGAGCCTCGCGGCGAGCAATGAAGCTGTCTAGACGTCGTTTCGGCACGCGAAGTACGTACACTTTTTCCTTCTAACTAGATATATTTCTGTGGTTGATTCTAACTTTTTAAATACGCCAAAATGACTTTTTGGTTTTATTGCTAGCAATCAATTTGATATTTTCAGTCTTTTATTTTTTATTGCAAATTATTAGTCAAAAAAGTAATTTTGCTGGTCCCAAGCCCGATTAAAGTATGAATGGAAAGTTAAAATATTAGAATAAAGTGCCTATTATTTTCAAGGCCAAAGCCAATGCATTGTACGGTCGCGGAACTGAGATTATTTGAATTTTTTCATAGTAAAGCAAACCTAAAATGTTTACGATATCTACCTGTATCATATAGATCAATGTACGAAATTTGGTTGTTGTCAATCGTGTCGCCTCGTTTGTTCGACCACCGATAGATTGAGACGATACGATTGATTGAACATTTATGTTATGAATGGGTTACAAATACGCCCAGAAATTGGGATATAAACAAATGTTAATAACTTAGTTGTTTATAAATATATTAAAATTTAGATTACCTACATTTAATAAAAGGTCTTCCTTAAGTAGCTCTTAAGTTATTAGTAGTAATTAAAAAGTAGTATTGTATAGTCTCACCGTGTGCACGGTGAGCGATGCAGCTAGCCGCGTAACATGTGGTACGAGAGTGGCGGGCGCGTCGCGGCGATGCAGCGGTAAGCGCATTAGTGAGCGCTCACCACCGCTTAGATACAGCGCGCCGCTATATGCCGAAAGAGTGCCCACCCATCCGCCTTGCCACACCACACGTCTGATGTACACAATATACCATATCAATAGGGTAGTTTTGGTAATAAAAATAAAGACACGAAATTGCACATAAAAAATCTACATTGTAATAAACATAGAGATTCTTATTTTGAGCCTTAAAATCACATATTAAATTTATTGCCATCTTAATTATAATAACGTTTGGTTTACTGCGATGTCACGTAACTTTAATCACGATACCGCCATTGTGTGACGTCAGATTAGTCATACACATATGCCTATTCATTATCAATAGGTGGAACGCTGTTCTCAGTTTATTTCTATCTTTTTATTTCGTAGTCGATCATTAGACGGCATCGTCCTCGTTTTTTCGACATCTTTTAATCTTCTACTCCATGCATCTGTTGTGTATACATATTAAAAGGACATTATAAATATGATGGACAGCATTTGCACTGGCTATATTAGTCATAACTATTTGAACCATTTATTTTTGGACATACAACAGTCATTACTTAACCCACAACTAATTAATTGATATTAAATTTATTGCCATCTTAATTATAATAACATATTTTCATGAATAATGCAAAATTATCAACGTTTTCGGTTTTGACGGTGAAATTGACAGGGCAAAAATAAAACAAAACAATTACATACATTTTATACTTAGCCCGAAATATATTTGGCAAATGTATAGCTCTTTACATTTGCCGAAGTATTTTAATATTTTAGTAGAATATGGTTTGTAGATTACATCAAGAAAAACTAGTCTCGGTGACGAGGTTTCTTTGACTTACTTGTTGAGTATGTCGAGATCGATGGCGTGTATCTGCCGGTTGACAGCCCAGTATACTACGCCGGTGGTTTGATCGAGTGCTAGCGCAGAAGCGTTAGCCGCACGCGACAACTCCATACGTTCGGAACCGTCTACGTTGGCACGCATTATTGCCCCGAGACCCACGTCGTTCCATACCAATATCCTATAAATAAATCCATAGTAACCATTTCAATACCAGTTTAAGTAGTGTCAGTTAACTTAGAGTGTCTAAAGATTTTTAGTAGCACCAGAGCTGTTCTTTTATTTCAATTTCGGATTTTCAAGTATGTCTGTCTCATCGTAGCCTAGAATGTGTAACAAAAAAAATTGTGAAGGTCTTTTTTAACTTTTAACTGTAATAGATATTATATAATGATTTTGGTGCCCCCAGACATTGGCGCCCGGTCAAGTGCCCCCACTTGCCCCCCCTAGATCCAGGCTTGACTTAGAAATTGATTGATGTCGAGCTGTGTGTATATTATATTATTGTTTCGTGATAGACGAATATTGAATAAAGTATTATAAACCTAATTTAAAATAAATAAATAGCAGTGGTTAGTGCATTAAATTTGTGATTACAGCTTAACTGTAACCTTCATAAAGGCTGGGTGGGTGATTATCTTTAGCTCCTATATGTGCTTTCAAGATACGTCTATCTACACTTCCACGTACACGTACTTTACACGTTCTTACCTGTCTATCTACACTTTGACTACGTGGCGGCTTATAGTCCGTTCTCTAATGGGGAAAGCCTGTGCCTCAGCTATGGGAGCATTAATGAGCTCATGACGAATATTAATTGCAAGAACTAAAAAATGATATATTTAGCTCACCTCTTCGTTTGATGCAAAGCTAGATGCCTTGGCATCATATTTTCTCCTCTGAGAATCACACCAATAGATGAGTTGTTGTCTATAGAAGTTGCATTTATAGAGTCTGTGTCTAAACAAGTCCAATACAAAGCTCGTCCTAGAACATCGAGTACCATATGAAATGGCCTAGACAGACCAGGTACGACTATGGTGGAGTCAGTGACAGCTGATGTAGTTGAATATGATACAGGAACTCTTCGTATGAAGTGAGTATCCTCATCCATCCAATACAATAGTCTGTAAAAAAATCGATAAAGTTGATTTCATTAACCGGTTTCAATTTTACTGACTATCATCAGTTATTTCTACTGACTGATTTTTATGCTATACATGAATCGTTCTAATCGTTATTTTAAATCGTCATTACGAGATGTGAATCTATAGTAGATAACACTTAGAGATTTATATATACATTTATATTTCGAAAAAGGGAGTAGTCGTTACGTCCATATCAACATAGGCAAAAGAGATAATATTCTGTTAATTACAAAAAAAACTTACCTTTTCTCGGGATCATATTCTATAGCTTTTACGTTCCGAAGTCCTACTAGTGGTATGAAAGCGTCATTACATTCGCCGTTCGCTACTAGTATTCTACCAACGGCGTTCTTTTGAGCGAACAAAAGAAACTCTTCCGGCTCTGAAAATTACATCAGTCTTTTAACAAAATACCTATTTAACTTTAAGGGAGTATTTTATTTTTAAGGGAGTACCTATTTTAAAATATGTACAGTGAGTTCTAAGTAAAAGTTTGCGTTTTCTTCATTTCCAAAACTTGTTGAGGTCGAAAACCAAGTCAACCACGACACAAATTTCTGGGATGGTCTAATGTGGTCTTTCTGTGATTAGCACAACGCGTTGTAAAAGTTTTCATTAGAGCCATGACACAAATTTTCCGTTGAAGCTGTTTTACTATGACCACAACGCGTTGTGAGCAAGTTTTTCGCTCAATTGGCTGTTTCGGTTTTTGAGCGTAACACGTATACTCACCAGAACAGGTGAGATTGTCACGGTTGAGGCGAAAGTGAGTAGGGCAGGAGCAGCGATATTCTACAGGTAGCGGCAGTGGCAGACAGAGGTGAGAGCAACCGCCATTGTCGACGTCACATTGGCTACTACCAGCGGCTCGAGTGCGATGATATACTTTCAAATCGGTTATATAGTCAAGTTGTGTGTGGATCGTTTTGCGTTCCGTGCCGTCGGTTTTCTTTGCAACCTCGATCAAACCTGTTCGAGATGAAAAAAGACAGGAAACAATAGTAGAAGCTTCATGATAACTGCAGTGACTGCAATCGGATGAGTGACAGAAATTAATTATCTCTAGCTTCTCTGTGGTTCAGAAGGCAAGATTTGCCTTGAAATGGCGGGCATAAAAGAAAAGAGTAATGAAAGTAGATGAGGCAAAAAAGTAAGGACCGCATATTGTAGCGTTTGGTCTTATATGCATACCTCACCAGGATTACGGCGTGAAGATATAGATAAATAGATAATTTGTAGTCTGCAGAACACCTAATCTACAATGGATTCGGCCCGTTCTTTTTATGTTTTACTATCTATGGGGAAGACCAGTGCTCCAGAATTGCGGTTATCATGAGGCTGTTACAATATGACAAATAATTTATTCACTAAAGCCAGAAAATTTGAATTAAAAATGTGCATTCTTCAAATTTATTGGTAAAAAAAAAGGTTGAACTAAATGAGGAATGGTTTGTTTATTTTGACCAGTTTAGACAGACAATAAAAAAATTGTGTAAGCATATTACCTGTGTTCCAGTCTCCCCAGAAAACTCTGTCACCATAGAGGGTGAGGGCATACGGCATCAGTATATTATCAATGAGCAACTTTCGTCCAGACCCATTGAGATGTATATACTCTATGGCCGGGGGTTCGAGAGCGGCCCAATATAGAGTCCGCTTATCGTAGTCTATGGCTAGAGCGTGCACGCGACCTGCTTGTTCAACGAATACGGAGGGCGAAGATCCATCCATAGCGGCTCTCTTTATAGTTCTTGAACCGATTTCTGACCAGTACATGTAGCTGCAATAAACATCTTAATATGGTAACAAATAATATAAGACATGTTATAAATTAACATTTTAATGATCTCGATTCTTTGCAGCTTTTATAAATTATATAGAATTGTGTATTTTAAATTTGAGAAGTATTAATTTATAGTTATTTATTTTTAACCAATAGTCATCCCATAATAATAATAAAACTACATAACATCTTACCCTTTTTTTGGGTCTAAAACAATGCTTTTAGGCTTCTTCAGGCCTTGCCATATCAGAGTTTTACGACTGGATCCGTCGAGCCTAGCCAATTCAATGCGTTGCGTCGCCATATCCGTCCAGTAGATGTTTTGACCAGACCAATCTATGGCTAGACCTACAGATACGTAAGAAAATAAAATTGAATGACAAAAATAATTTTCGTGTAGAATATTTTAAAGCTATTATAATTACCTTCCACTAAACCCAGCCATTCAAGTATCTTCTCTTGATTAGATCCATTAACAGCGCAACGATTGATAGTTTTCGTTTTGCTGTCTGACCAGTATATTTTAGACCCTGAAACATGTACTTCCAAGGCACTGAAAAAAGCACAAAATTATGAAAATTTATTTGAACAAATTAGTTAATATAACCCCTAAAACAGACTTTCTGCATTTTTAACAAACCGTAAGCGGGTGTAGTGAAATTTAGATAAATTATCCAACCTGACTTCCTTCAAGTCCTTGATTGGCTGCATGGCATCGTTATTTTCATTTTCGATACTGATTCGACCGATGACGTTCTTACGACTATACACCAGGAATGCTTCTGGTTCAATACACGTCTTCCTATCATTGCTTAATTCTAAGCCTGCGGTATAAATAAAAATAGTCAATAATTGCTAAATACATAAAAAAGTGTTATGTTGGCATGCTCTCATCACCATTATAATTTAAGATTATTCAGTCAATTTTACCATGTATTTCTTAAATTACCTATTATATTTATTTAAATAAAAGGATTTCATGAGCTGTATCATAGAATCTAAAACTACATTTGAACATAAAAAAAACTGTTATGGGTCGGTTAGAACAATAAATTCTAACTTCAGCACATAGTGTATCTTGGTTTGCGCAGAGCATACCTACCAATACCGCCGACGACAAAATTTATAATGAGTCTTGTTTCAATAACTGTAAGGTGTAATATACAAATGTCTCAGTCTCACGCAATGGGTTCAGGCGCGTGGAACGCTAGACAGCGTGATACTTTCATTCTTTGACTAGGTTTTGCTTTTCGATATTTAGCTTTCTGTGCTGGTACATGAGTGAGCCACGTCAGTTGTATATTAATGTGCCAGCATTTTTGATAAAAAAAAAACTTGTCTAGTGCGAGTTGGAGTTAAGACATGCTTATTCATCTAGTTTAGCTCACCTTATATAATATGTATACAAAATTTCACCTCAACTACTAATTAGCCAACCGACGGAAAGACAAGACTCTTAAATGATTTAATTTTTCTTTTTCAAGTATTTAACCCAAATATTAATCATAATTGTTTGTATAATAAAATATTATTTACCTAGTGGGCAGCTGCAGACGTAGTCATTAGGTCGATTAAAGCAAATATGTGAGCAGCCACCGTTTTCATCCACACAGGGGTTTCTGCCCAGAGATTCGCCTAGACGGAAAGCTTTTACACCTAACATGTTTGCTAACTGCTCTACTACAGGCTGTCTTGTTAAACCTAGACAATATAATTTTTTGTTAATTAGCCAATTCTGATAGTGTTTTATGAGGGCAGGTAAGCAACCGACTGGAATAACATCCGGCCACACACCTCCACACGCGATTTTGACATTGTATTGCAGAAACGCCAGTCGAAAGAATGCAGGTAAAGTAGGAAAATATGCATCAGTAAAACAACCTATTTCATCTTCGATGCTAAGAAAATACATTAGAAACAAACTTTATAATTAAAAACCGACCAAGAGCGAGTAGAGCTTGCGCGCAGGACAAAAGTTAAAAACCACAGACATAAAAACATAATAAATTGTATAGAAATTAGTTCAGGTGTTTTTTTATTTATTTTAATCTCAGTAGTTTTAGGGCACATAAGACATTATACAACATTCTATGAATTGTATGTGCAAAAAAGTTTCATACCTTATAATACATAGCTGTTATTAAACCATACTAATAGAATGATAGTTATTTATGAGATTACTACCATGTGCTTTATATTTGCAAGAGACCCAACTGTTTGGTGCTGTTGCAAACGCCATGATCATGGAGTAAATGAGGTCTTGCGGGTGGATGTATTTTTTGGCAGATAGATCTACCTTCTTTCTTTTACAGGGAGTGCTGTTTGTCGAGAACAGTTGCGAGTGAGTGGTGGCATAATGAAAATTGGAATGGACTTAGTGTATCAAACGTAAGAGGACTTGAATGGCAGTAACCCTGAATATAACTATCATACTAATGTAAATGACCATGTTAGTTTAAATCAACATATTAAACCATACCAGTTTCTTTGTCTATGCTATCCAATGTTCGTCGTTGCATATCTGTCCAGTAAAGTCTCTGACCCAGTAATGTCAAACCAAATATGTGTAAGATGTCAGTACTGTGAATTTCTCTTCGGTTTGTGCCATCCATGTTGCAAACCTGGTAAAATATTTTTTAATTTAATAACACCGTTCCATAATTAGTCAATTATAATTACCTAGTTTAAATAAAAAGCGTTTTCATAAAAAAAATCATAATAACTTGGTGATCCAATGCATAGTTAATATATATATATATATATATATATATATATATATATATATATATATATATATATATATATATATATATATATATATATACAATACATATATGAATTTTCTCTTAAAACAGTACATAAATTTTAAATATAACAGGCAATGAGTTGAATAGATTAATCATATTTTTCATAAGGCAGGTTATAAAAAGTGAACGAACAAGTAAAGTCATGGTATTACGAAATCATAATCCCAGAAATTGACATTTTAGTCACTTCTTTAGTAATTTAAAAAAACATGAGTATAATAAACTGACCTCTATTTTATGTGTCCTAGCATCACCCCAATATAGTTTATTATGCACGGTGTCGAGCGCAATACCATTAGGCCAGGCGATCTTTTCGGAGATGAGAACAAGTCGGTCTGTACCATCAAGATTTGCGCGTTCTATTTTTGGCCGTTTCTCGTTCCAATCTGACCAAAACATCCAACCTACAGTTGGATGGAGGGCGATTGCTCGAGGGTCATACAATTCGTCGTGGATTATAACCTGTATGATTAATAATATGAAACTGTTGAAATTTGTATGGTGTAAGGTTGATTTTAGGCAGAGTTAATTATTTGGCTATTGGGTTAAAGACTAATAACCCTAGCTTGTTTAGATTGAGTGTAGTTAAATAACTTAAAGAAATTGCTTTCAATTTGTTAAGTATGTCAGGGTTTACCTTAATACTCTCACTGAAATTCAGTTGCAGTTGGTAGAAGTTAGACATTTATTTTCTTTTTTTTACGCACATTTAGTTTAATGACGACTTTAAGCTTTTTAAGCTTAATTTGTATCTGTAATGCCGCTTTAAACTAATGAAAAATTTAATGGACGTTAGTGTAATGGGCAGTTAGTTTGTTATAGTGTTCCATTACTTTTCCATTTATTATTATTTAATCTTACCTTTTTAGAGGTGCCATCGAGTTTAGCCACAGTGATGGTGTCTGCGACGGGATCAGTCCAGTATATATTTCTAGCAAGCGGATCTATGGCGATACTGTCCGGTACACCACTACTGTGTATTACTACAGATTGTTCACTGCCGTCTAGCCGCGCTCGAGATATTGTTTTTGCCTAATAAAATATTAAATATTGTTGACATTATTATTGATAACACAGCTCAACAAAAAAAGTTCTTTTGTTGAGCTGTGTTATCAATATAAGGATATTATCAATATAAGCCCTGGATATTTCTGCAGATTTATATATTTCAAGTACCCAGTTTGCGAATATATTCATAAAATATTTAATTGGCTCTAGTTTTTTTTTTTTAATTTGGCTTATCATAAATTTCAAACTCTAAACAGTTTAAGTCGGCCGTTTAGAATACGGGTTAATTAAAAATTTGTCTTCTGCGCATGGTTTCGCGCATACATGCGCAAAAAGCGAAATTCGTATTACCGCGCATCCTTTCCCGCGTTTTTCTCGGGGATTTGACAACATCGGAGGACGCATGGTGCGCATTTCGTAAGTTTGTGATAACTCAATACTTTGTTTTATTTTTTGAATTTTGATTCTAATATATACGTTTTGACCGTAGAAATATGAGTTCATCGCGAAGAAGATGCAAGTAGTCCTGATGTGTTTTGCTATTTGTGGTGTTTATATAATTACAAAACAAGTACGGAATATTACAGATTTTGTCAAGGAAGTTTATACCGTTTACATAAATCATGGGATCATGGATAAATCATGGGTTTCTCATAATGTTTGTAAATCCTGTGTCGAGTCTTTACGTTTATGGAAGAAAGGAGAACGCCACGGATTAGATTTCGGCATCCCTATGATCTGGATGGAGCTTAAAAATCATTTTGATGATTGCTACTTTTGCGCCGTAGACGTTAAAGGTTACAATCAAAACAAAACGTGGATATATCCAGATTTACAGTCTACAAGTTGTCCAGTTTTGCACAGTGAAGACCTTCCTCGACCTATTTATGCTACAAAAATAGTTAAAACGCCGTCAGAAATCATGATGTTACCAAACTCCCAGCATTCAGTAAAATCTACAAGTGGAAGTGAATATAATGGTGCAACATCGGCACCACAGTTGTTTTCTCAAAATGAACTAAGTGATTTAATAGGAGATTTAAATTTATCAAAACAAGCATCGGAACTATTAGCTTCCAGATTAAAAGAAAAGAATTTATTGGCACCAAATGTAATGATAACAGCATACAGGAAAAGGAAAGTGAAATATTACAATTTTTTTGGGAAAATCAACAATTTGTCTACTTTAATAATATTGCGGAGTTACTTCAAAACATAGGTTTAAGTGAATACAAATCTACTGATTGGCGACTTTTTATTGACAGCTGCAAAAGGAGTTTAAAATGCGTTTTATTGCACAATGGAAATCAATTTGCATCAATCCCTATTGCCCATTCAACGAAACTGAATGAAGAATATGAGAATATTAAATTGGTTTTGCAAAAATTTATTATTCTGACCATTAATGGTCGGTTTGTGTAGATTTGAAGATGGTGAACTTTTTACTTGGTCAGCAAAGTGGATTACACCAAATACCCTTGCTTTATTTGTTTAAGGGACAGCAGAGCAAAGCAAGTTCAATGGGAACAAAATGTTTGGCCTTTAAGAGAATACTTAACTGCTGGTAAAGCCAATGTTATAAACGAGCCACTGTTAAGTAGAGAAAAAATCATACTCCCGCCACTACACATCAAGTTGGGAATGATGAAACAGTTCGTCAAAGCATTGGACAAGGAAGGAGAAAGTTTTAAATATATTTGTAAAACATTTCCTAAGCTAAGTATGGAAAAGTTAAAAGCTGGAATATTCGACAGTCCTCAAATACGAACACTGATAAAAGACGAAAATTTTACAATAGTTATGACTGATGCTGAATGTGAAGCATAGAGTGGTTTTGCGTTAGTAGTAAAAATCTTCTTAGGTAACTATAAAGCACCAAATTATATAGAAATTCTGCAACAGATATTGGAAAGCTTCGAGAATTTAGGCGCAATTATGAGCATAAAGCTTCACTTTCTCCACAGTCACCTGGATAGATTTCCCGGCAATCTGGGACATTACAGTGAAGAACAGGGACAATGTTTCCACCAAGACCTAAAAGTGATGGTAGAAAGGTATCAGGGTAGATGGGATCGTCACATGATGGCAGATTGCTGCTGGTCCTTGAAAAAAGATTGTCCCCAAATTACCTATAGACGAAAAGCTTATAAAAGACGTTTCTATTAATTATAAAGTCTTTTCTCTCTTTTTATTCCTACGTACATTAATTAAAAACTTAATTACATTAATAAAAAAATAGCGACACTTTGGTAATAAAAAAATAATGTTAACAAAATATACTGTTTTATTTTGTGTTATATAGTCTAATAGGAAAATTAAGATTAAAAAAAAAACCAGAGCCAATATTACAAAATCATTCAGAATTTTATAAATAGTATGCATAAAATTATTAGAAACTACTCTCACATTAAGGGCACCAAAACCATTTTTGACCAGTGTAATTTTTGATAAAACTACGTGAGAAGAAACTGTCGCTTATTTGAATATCAAAATGTCCCGCTTACTCCATATAAGAAATAAATAAAAAATGATTTAGCATTTGGATATTTTTTCTCAGAAATTTCATGCAAATGGTAGCAGAAATATAATTTATATAGTCACCATTAAAATTATTAATAACATTTACATTATAACTATCATTGTTAAAATAAATTATTCTGATTTTTTGATAAATTAAATAAGCTGATATAATGTTAATATTGAATGGTAGCTTTCCTCAGCTAAGAAAGCTAATTAAAAATATAAATATTAAAAACATCAGTAAATATTTTGATTGCTTGTTTATTTTGTGGTTTATAGTTTCTTATAATTGATAGTTTCAGAGAATGTAATATGTTAATTAATAATTAGGAATATTTTAACAGGAAGAATTACTTACCAAACTGTCTGCCCAGTAAATATATTCACTTTTAGGATCAAAGTCTACAGTGAGTGCTCTTTTTAGATCTTTTAATGGCAAAGTGTATGGAGTGAAATCTGGTGAGTCCAGTGAGATCTTTGATATCATTGAGCGCTGTGCAATCACTAATAGAGACTGCGGAGTGTTATAACAAGTGGTATTGCTATTTTCCTTTAGTGTGGTGCCAGTGGGACAGGCACAAACGTAGCCTTTGAAAAATACAAATAATTAAATCACACTATTCAATTTCATAGGATTGCATTGTTTCATATAACATTACTGTTCAACTCATAGAAAAAAATTAGTGAACATATAAGGATGTATAAAAATGTATTGGTTAATTTTGTTTCTTATTAAAGTGGACATGTATAAAAAAATATTTATACCTGTGTCTGATGGTGCTAAAAGGCACAAATGTGTACAGCCGCCATTATTATATTTACAAGGGTAGTCACCAGCAGGCATAAGTTGCCGAGTACTATCATATACTTTTATATCTACAGGTACAGGATCAGATTTTATTATTTCTTTGATAGGACCATTAGTTGCTATGTCCCAAGAGTAAATAGTCCTAAAAAACACATTTTAATAATCAAATATTATTTTGAAAACAATAATGCACTCTTGAATAAATTATACTGTCTTATACCAGTTTGTCCAATCTGTCCAATAGAATTTTTCATGGTGTATAGTTAAAGCATAAGGATACTCCAAACCACCTTTAACTACCCTTTTTCTTTTATTTCCATTAAAATCAATAACATCAATAAAGTGAAGTTTTGCATCTACCCAATAAATCAAATTACTATTGTAGTCTATTGTAATGCCATTGGGCCAAATGATATCATCTTTAACTAAGACTCTTCTAGTTAAAGGGTCACCATTCATTCCTGCCCTCTCTATCTTTGGCACTTCACCCCAATCTGTCCAAAACATTAACCTGAAAAGAATCCAGGGTTCGTAATTATTGTCATGACAATTTACAGATAATCTGTAGTATCTATTGCATTAAGATTTTGATGATTTGTAATAGTTGATCAAATGAGTTTTGACTCTGATTTTGAACATATAAAAAAAAATATTTCTGTAGGATCCTGTTAATGGGATACATAGTTTCATGGTATAACTATAATATAAAATGTTAAACCAGGACATGAAAGATTTTTGTGCCAAATTTTATCAAAATTGTGAGTAATATTTCGTGTTATAAATAGTTGAAAAGTACCACTGTATTGACCAATGTGTTTTTTCATTGTTTTATGTAATTTACTTAAAGACATGAAAAACATTTAAAGTTAAATCATATTTACCCCTCTTTAGGCACAACAGCAATAGCTCGAGCCAAATCTACCTCAGACCAAAACAACACTTTTCTGTGTCTCTGTTCTATACTTATTACTTCAATCCTATTGGTCTCTCCATCAGTCCAATATATTTTGTCAGTATACCAATCAATTGCAATTCCCGTTGGTGTTATTAAACCTTCTGACACTACTCTCATCTGTAATTAATTAATGTAATAATGATTAATAATTCATATTTTATGTATAAAACAGTTCTTGATATGATTGGTTATTAGAATGAGACATGGTAAAAGTATAAACAAAAATTTTGTTTATTAAAATTAACACTGATTTGTGAACATAAAATAATAGCAATTGTAAGGAATGGAAAATAAGCTATAAGGGTGGTAAGAGTCATCAATTGAAAAAAAAAAATGTGAATAGAAATTTAAAAAATTATTGGATTAAAAGAACTCGAAGTTCATATCTAACCTTTTCTCCAGAGTATGTATCGTTGTAGTTCATACATTGTATCAACTCTGCAGTTTGATCAGACCAACATATTAAATTTTTGCTATAAATGAAATCTACAGCAGACCCTTGCTCTAAACCTTTGACTACAATGTTAGTCTTTCCGAGTCTAGATAAATTAGCTACTCGTATGTCTGATGCTGTCGAATATAACAATATTGGATTGTTAGCTACAGAATAATAACCTGTAACAATTTTATCATTTGTAAATAAAATTAAATATGTTTGACACATTTTTTTTAATAACATTACACAGTAACAAACCTTTCAACTGCAAAAACATCAACAAACAAAACACTTGAATAACATTTTGTATAATTTTATCGGCATGAAGTATTCTTCGGCGTTTTGTCATAATGAAAACAAATGAAGATGCACCAAACTTGTCATATGTTTATCTTACATTAAAAGGCACGTAACTAAATAAAATAGTGTACAGTATATGTACAAATTACATATTGACTGTTGTTCGCTTTATTATTCTTTACACTACATATATAAAGAATACATTTCTATGAAATGCGAGATCAACAAAACAGATAAAAAATCTATGACGAACGCTGCTGATCAACGCTGTTCATGGATTTTTCAACTAAAATGTTGCCAGTGAATGAAAGTCCTGAGCTTGTCCGGAGGGGCGAATTTGCCACGAAAGTTGTCGCGCGTAGGAGCGATTGAGCGTTTTTACACAGCGACGATGGCGACACGATATGATACTCAAATATCGTCAGCTTGAAAATAATAACGATATCGGTAGGTGACATGCATGATTTAACTAACAGCTTGCTAGCAGTTAGTTAAATGTATCCGTTTGATTACAAAAGTGTAATGGAATATTCGTTTGATTCGAGGTTATACTGGCAGCAGTGAACAAGTTATATTTGCTTTATCTTTTTTATTTATACGGTGAAAAACGACAATCAGTCTGCAACAATAACGTCGTTAGTACCCCGATCCGACGCAATTGCGAAAGATTTTTTTAAAAAGCACTAAAAAGCATTTCACTAGATGGTGGCTCTGTCAGGTTGTATTTTGACTCATTGAAAGCATAGAATAACTCTTGCTATAGTTTGTAGTGTTTGTAGAAAGTTTAACTTTTCAATGAAACCCAAAATAGCAGAGAACGATTTTCGTAAAATGCGCGAAGACACTTTTTTGAGCTCCTGAATTGAGCTACTGTTCTGTTCTAAAACAAAGAAAAATTTTTAGTTTGTAGTGACTTCGAATTTTTTAAATAACATTGATTAAATATAGAAAAAAATCATATTATAAACCAAAATCTTCCAATATTGTTTGAAGTTAACTATCTACGATAATATTAGTGGTTAAAGTATCAAATTGCCGTTTTATTGGAAAAGGTTCCTTGAATTGACATAGAATCTTCATGGTTTGAGCTTTTCGAAAGAATTTTTTTTCATATGGTGTATGATTCTCTTCTTTTGAAAAATGTGAATCATTTGAATGTGGACTTTCAATTGTTTTTGTTATTTAACTTACAATTAGACAAGAAATATGGATACTGAGAAAATTCGAGTATTTTTTTAGTACGAGTTCCGACGCGGAAGTAACGCGGTAGAAACAGCCCGCAATATCAATGTTGCGTTTGGAGAGAGAGAAAAATGCAATGGCAGACCCCAGGTCAAACGCCACAGCAGTGTCCTAAAGCAAAACTTACCAATAAAAAGGTAATGGTAACTGTTTGATGGTCTTAGCATGGTGTTATTCACTATAGTTTCTCCGTTCTGGTCAACTCGGTGACGAACTCCGAACAATGTTGGCAAAACTAGCAGTAAAACAGCCCCGACTCATGAATTGCCTTTCACCATTATTGCTCCATGACAACGTGAGACCTCATACAGCACGAGAATCCGTTTTGATCCTTCAGGCAATGCAGTTAGAGACCATTCGTCATCCTTCAGATATTGCTCCAACGGACTACCATTTTTTTCGTGATTTGGACAATTATCTATGTAACAAGAAGTTTTCTTCCCAGGAGGCAGTACAAAATGCTTTCATACAGTATGTGCAGTCTAGATCCTCAGAGTTCTATCGCAAAGGCAGAAATGACCTTCCTATTAGATGGCAGCAGTGTATAGATAATAATGGTCACTATTTTAATTAAATAAATTTGTTAAATATAAACAATTTTGATTTTCAGTACAAATCGATAATTTCACACTTTAACCCTTATTATCATGGAACAAAATTTATACAAGAATAATGACTACTTCATAAAAAAAATGATTTTATTATTTTTAAGCATACATATTTATAATCTTATTTCAATAATAATGGTAAATGTAAATGCAAAATTACTACAAAATACGACGCGCCGGTAGGCATGTCGATCTGAAATCGATTAATCGAAAAATTTATTATTTAAAGTAAAATAATCGCTTTGTCAGATCGATTTGGAATGTTACATCGATTCTTGAATCGAATCATGAACCCGCTCGAATCACACCAATACTCGATTTAATGCTCGATTTCATCGAGTATCGGTTCTAGCATGTTCGATTCGAATCGAAATTTTTCAAGTGAATCGACATGCCTACGCACCGGGCGTCTGAGCTTAGTACTGCGCGAGCGCTTCTAAATATTGGTTTATTGTCGAATTTCTACGCGCCATTGTGCATGCGTTCGGACATAGTAAAAAATAATACACCGAGCCGGTCAATATGAGCATTACTTTTCATAATTATGGGAGTAATTTGCTGGCTGGTATTTCTTTCTAAATCGTATTATAATCAAAGCTGATATAATTGGAATGCATATAACCATGGGTGTAATATGTTTTCCCCCTTTTTTATAATACCGCTGCTTTCCGTATTTTTAAATACATTAGACGAAATTATTTTAGTTTAGTTTATTATCTTGGAGTTGTTCGGTGGTGAAGTGGAAAAGCGCCGCGGCACGCGATCCTTGTTGTTAAGCAATAATCGCAAGGGTCGGTCACGAGATGGCTGACTAAAAAATTATGATCTCGAACTATTATGTGCTTCGGAAAGTACGTTCCTGGCTGCATTTGCAGTCGTTAATACCCTCCAATTGCTTAAAAATTAATAACAACAGTCATTGGACTGAAATAAAAAGGCAGAACACAATATCATGCCTGAAAATGTGATAGATAGTAGCAGAGGATAGCAAATTGCGCGGCAAGATAAGTTTTTAACTCCTATAAGTACTCGTAAAACTATTATGATAATGGCTATGAAATGATTTACACACTTTAAAAGGGTATAGGGGAAGATTGGCACCATTCGTACACTTTTTAGTCAATGATTTTTAAAATATTGATAATCAAAGATAAATTACTCAATTACTTATTAAAACATAAAGCATACTTTCTGCTCCTTATTTAAAAAGTTCAAAGTCGATATCTTGTATATGTCAAAGGATTGAATTTTACTAAAAGCTTATGAATGTCCGAATCTACCCCTATTACGGGGTACAATCGTACATGGGCCGGGGAATATTCAGGCAGTGTGGTAACTTCATATATATTAAGTAAAATAACAAATTAATTTAAAAACATCGTTTTCATTGATCTCAAACTTATCAACGATGTAATAAACTAAACGACATATGCCTATATGTCGTTTAGAGTCTAACTATCTTTTTTACGAAAACCGTGCATCCATTCTATATCAGCGAAGCCAGTTTCATAAAAATTTTGTTAAACATGTATATTTCAAAACTTTATCAGAATCATTTGATAGTGTTGTGACTTCCAATATCGTGATACCGAAATGTGTTTTTGAACTTTTTCAATTGATTAGTCTTTTCAGTAAAACTATTTGTTTTTTACTATATAAAAACACCTTTTACAGACGCAAAAAAACTAATTTAATGAATATTGGAAACGTGTCTGCCTTTTCTTCTTAAAATTCCGATCGTTTTTACTAAATTTTCTGATATACCTAATAATAAAAATTATTAGCACACAGGGGGTTAGGGGGTACATACATACGCGTACGAATGTGCCCCGAATATCAAGAATAAAATATTTTTTTCTAACACAAAACCCACGTAGGAAAATACACATAATAGATATATTATTTCTATCTTAATCGTATTCACTTACGATTCAGCAATAATCTAGTAAAATTTGACGTGTAATTAAAGCACGGAAGATCCAAAAACATTAACAAAGTATTTACTATGAGCATGCCAAAACACTTTAAGTTCTCTAGTTTCGCTCGCAGTGGCTGCATGTGTGGCTAACTTCGTGGACAACTGGCGGTCGCCGGCGCCTATCCACTGACACAAAGTCGTAATAAATAGACTTTTTTACAAGATGTAGTAGTGACTGTATGAAGGTTCCCCATGTACGAATGGTGCCAAACATCCCCTAATTACAAGAAAGAATAATTAATTCCGGTGTACCTTTGTGATTTATTCTATACCGAGTAAATAAAAAAATTAAGTTTTGGCTATAATAGCCAAAACGTCATTTCTTACAGTCCTAATCATTTAGTTCAAAATTAGTTGAAAGTTAAATGATTTAAGTGCACGAGCCCTATAATGAGCATAATCATTTTTATTAACAAGTGGCTTTGTTTGGGAAATTGTAATCATATTTATAAAAATCGAACAGCAAAAATTTCCAACATTTTGAGGTAATAGTTGTTAATACTGTTATCACTTATGACCAGAGGTCGGAATTAGGTAGAGTTATTTATGTACTTGCATCGAAATGTTGATATTAATGTGGACCTTCCCGGGATTTCTAATGGACAATCCCGTGTGGCCAACAATCTTACAGCTAAATAATAATAACAACGTCAGAGATAGACAAATAAAACAAAGATAATTAACATGAAATTTTTATTAGTTTACATTAATTTACAATACAAATTTTGCAACTTTGGACATCCGATGTCATTGATGTAATTTTGACAACGTCGTGCGTGCAGTAGTTTAAATTGTGTAAAAGTAAATAACTTTTTATTTAAAAAATCACGGGGTTTTTTCTGCTCTTTAAAATTAATCTCGGGATTTGAGGCATATCCACTTTCTTCTTTCGCTGTATGAAATCAGTGTAAGTACATGAATAACTCTACCTAATTCTGACCACTGCTCATGACATAAATGAAAATTTTGCGCTTTTTGCTTACGCACACATAAATCTCATACGGTTTCATTACATATCGTTGCGCTTTAATGGGACACGGACTCTGGACATTATATAATCAAAGTATCCAAATTGACGCGTCTTTACAACAAGTGCTTGCTCCCAAAAATAGTCAACTCTCGTACTTTGAATAAATAATTCGAAGTCGACAGTAAGTTTCGAACGTTGCAACAGCTTACTGTTATTAAACCTATCGCCATGCAAACTATTAACAAAAATTA